ACTTATAAACTTGTGTGAAACGTTTGTGGATCCCACTCCATACAATGTTCTAGCCTACATGGTCTTGTAGTGTATAAGAAAGTGAGCCATTAAAGAAAATGGGCCTAAGTCCCATTACTAATATAACTAGTTAAGTTGTAATGTGACAGGGCAAATATGGGTCATGGATATGGGCATGGAGCACCCATTCTTCTAATAATATAGAGTTTATCCAAGGATAAATTATAATCCAAATCTGATTTGAATACAACTCCTGATAGAATTAAGAGAGTGCTTTATATAAAGGAAGAGAGGGATGGACAAACCATTAGGGATATAAATGGTATCTGAGTATCCGAAATTATATAAGAGTTATCAAGACAAATAAAAATACAAAATCCTTTTTAGAAAAATGACAAAAAAGCAAATAACAATATAACAATCAGTTGATTAACAATCTTTTCATCATCTAGGTTTTATTTTGCAAATTTGAGGAATAGTTAAAGATCAGGGATACTTTTAAGACAATATGTAAATAATAAAGAAATTAGTCAATTAATAAATAAGGATAGATTAAGAAATTTGTCCATTGATTTATTACCATGACCCTACCATTTCTATTAATTTATCCATTCTCTTGTTTCTATAGCCTATTTTTGTTGTACTTTCTGGTTGGGCTAGCCTCTGTTTAATTTTTTGTTTTTAGTGAATTTCACTTTGGTATGGCTGAACTCACTATCATTAATTTAGGCTCACTGCATTTTTTTGTTCTTTTTTATATATTATTGTTTGGCCATTCGGAACAGATTATTTTATTTTTCATGAAAATTCCATTTTAGTAGCTTGAACTTTGGGGGTAGTGTCAAGTGTTAGTGGTGTTAGTGAAGGGGTATTTCAGTCTTTGTACTTGTTGAGAATGCTGATGTGTACTGTTATATTAGTTCGAGTGCCTCTTACTTAAAGAAGGGCACTCAARTCTTTTCCAATAAGTTAATAATATAATAACAGGTCTGGCCGAATCAAGGGATTAACTTTTTTCCCTAATTCGAACCAGCCTTTCTCTCTTTTCTCTCTTCTCTCTTTTCTTCTTTCCTCTCCTACTTCTTGCTGTCTACTTTACTCTACAGTCAACGAACAAAACAGAATTCTATGGCAGGTCAAACTTCAACATCAAATTATACCTAAACTTTCAAAAAGTGTTAAGTTGGTCCGTACCATTAATCAATTGTCAATTATCTATTAAAAATGTCAAAACTACCCTTCAAAAGAAGATATTGTTCATTATTTTCTACCTTGATACTAAATCGATTATCTTCAAAGAAAAAGAGAAAAAAAAAGCATAAAATATGATAGAAGGAAACAATAATTAAAAACAAAAAAATAACTAGACAATAACGTATTTCAAATCTAAAGGTAAAAGACAATAAACAGTGTCTTCTTTTGAAAGGTAGTTTTGACATTTCCAACAGATAACTGACAATCGATTAACGGCAACAACCAACTTGACACTTTCTGAAAGTTTAGGTACTGCAGTGAGACATTTGAATTGACACTACCTCCAAAGTTCAGGTACTAAAGTGTTATTTCCCCTTTATTTTTATATACACTATCGAGGGGTACCCGTGCTTAACATAGGCGAATAGTATTGAATAATTGAAAGAAATAAAAAATGAAGAAAATTAATAGCAAATAAGAGAGGACATTTAACCTTATTAATCTTCTTGCACATGTGAAATACACGTGCTCTGATACTAACGTGGCATCCTACAACTAGGAGTGCAAGAATTTGTGCAAGACGTGAAGGGCCTCATTGAGATAAGAGTATCATCAATGTCAACTTTATGCTATCCAGTTTGGCAATTTAAGGTAAATCCACTTTTGACTTGTGTACAAATTGTAGGGAAAACAAAGGGAAATCATCAATGCGTAATTGGCATTTGGCTAGTAATGCAACCAAGAAGTTATACTTTCATTTGTGAAGACAAAACACCATTCCTTTCAGTTATGTTTCATATAGCCAACATAAAAACAGGAAATAAGAATTAAACCAAAATTAGCTAATAAGAGAGCCATCTTAAAAGAAACTCGAGCCAGCATATGACTCTATGCTACGAAGGAGAAATTCAAGGCATGAGACTCCTGTATGTTTGCCTGTTCAAAGAGGGACCTCTATGTTTTTCCTATGGTTGTTTATAGGGAGGAAATCCTATCATCTAACGCCTCTCCTGTTCAATCCACAAGATCCAACATATGACTACAGGAACCAACTCCCAAAGAATCAGCCCTCTCTTACTAAGAGCCTTAACACCACAAAGCTGCAATGAGAGTCAAGATCTTTTGCAAGGGACATGTTCACACAAAATAATTCAATTCCATCCAGATAAAGAAAAATGGCAATGTAAGGAGCATAATAAAATAAAATGGGTTTCACAATTCACTAAGAATAATTCTATAAATGATACTATAAAATGTTATCAAGAAAGGAATCATGATAAGAAACAAACAATTTCTTATGTTCATCAAACTGTTGTATACAACCATGAGACCACACATCTCCTGCAACTTTGATTTTAATCTCAACACCATTGTATTTCTTTCATAAATCACTCCACCATACAATGGCAAGTGAGAGAATACTTTATGCAGCCAAAGTTTGACTACAGTGGTCTAAAAAGAGTCGCATGGACAAAAAAGAAAATAAATGATAAACCTTACCAATGATGCAGTTCAGGAGAGATTTCATAGCATAATAGTGCAAGGCTTCCAAAAATCGAGAAAAGGTGGAAAATCAATTACCAAATAAAAGAAAAGGTTAATCCATTGCTAGGTGGCTTAGTATGAGGGCACTTATTTCTTCACTTATTCCCTAGATGTGTTTTTAGCCCATCTCTTCCCCATTAGATATTCTCTCTTTGGCCTTCCTCTAATGGGAGAAAAAGAAATTTATTTATTTGGGGATATGGAGGAAATAGAAGTGTATTTAATGGAAAGTTCAAGTGTCCTAGAAGACTATAATCACAGGTTGGGGGTTATATAATGTGGCCTGCATCCTAGTAGAGTTCCTCCCAACCCCAGATTTTGTAAAAATCCTGTCTTTGCTCATGGTGTTGACAGACTTAACAGACACTTACTTTGGTAGCAACTTTGGAGAGCTTTGGACATTTTTGAAGATGAAAATAACACTCAACCACCTTTTTAATCAATCCAAAATCTAAAAATAAAACACCACAATTTAGAAAATAAAGCACCCAAGGACTTGGAAAATAAAGCTGGAATTTAGAGGTCTAATCATAATCAACCCAGAAACTG